AGTCATCACATGTTTCACTGATAGAATCGGGAAATCCCTTAACAACTTGGTCAAGGCCAGGGAATACCCTACTCGCGCCCATTTTCTACTAGAGGATAATCCTTTTACTAAACGTTCTACTGAATAGTGCAATGGCTGGCAAAGTTCCTCATTCTCCTGAAAAATAAAAGAAAGATATTTATATATTACCGGTATAAGAAAGAAATATTGTTTAACCACTATGAGCAAGTACCATAGATTTCAAGATTTGTGGGACATTGACACTATTATTGATGGTTCTGATATGGGCTTTTGTATTGTTTAAAGAACCTCCCCCCCCCCCCCCCCCCCCCTTAAAAAACCATCAAATCTTATCATGTTATCTTTCTTACCTCATCACTGCCTTGCTTCTGAGACAAATGTTCTACGAGTTCATTTGATGCCTTGACTCGATCTTCGTCGTGACCTTCTGACAAGGACCAGAATAGTTTAAGGACCGAGTCATCAACTTTGTTATTTAAAATATTTTTATTCGCCATGTGTTCCACTACCATTTTGGATGATTACATTACACTACGCATGCGTCACCGGAACTCTTTACCATTTCAATATGGCGGACTATGAACAAGAAAATCGAGGATTCGGCGACAAAAATAGAGGTGGAAATGACGGGTGAGGCATTTTTTCACATTAATTCTTTTGTACAGATCTTCCCGAAGAATCTGAGTACCTTTTGCACCAAATGTGATGCCCATATTCTAGACCGATGGTAGCACACGACCGTGCAAGCTGGCCCGGTTGATTAAAAAACGTGCGTTCGCTCAGATATGCTCATCCAATGCTTGGCATTGATTGGCCCCTTTATTTGTTGATTGTTGGTATTATGGATTATGTAGTTGTTTCCATATTCCAAACTTAAATGAGGGCCTGCTATTGAGCGATTTTATTTCATCTAAATTATTTTATTAGAAGAATCTGCTCTAAAAATTTAGTGTATGTATTACTCATTACCTAGCAATTTGGTTGCTAATTTGTCACTATGGATTAGATCTATCACTACTTCTACTGACCTCAGCCAGTGCTTTACCTAGGAGTTATTATGAACTTCCTCACTCTTAATACTACCTTCAGTTTTGAAATAATACTGATAGTCTTAGAATAGAATAACTTTGTGTTGAGTAAAGTAAGTAAGCTTATGCAAGTCATTTAACGAAAACTTTTCCAATGTCTTGGATTAGAAAAATGAAAGCGTCTTTTAGATAATAAACATCACACATTTTTGCACTTGTTTTGAGATTTTCATCAATATTCCACTCCACGTGTCTATATATGAATGCTTTTGAAGAAATGCCATGCAAACCGAATTCTGATTATCTATTTTGATCTATATTTCAGAGATGATAGGTCGTTCAATAGAGGCTATGGTGGAGGAAGAAATGACCGAGGTTACGGTGGGGGTGGAGGCAGAAGTGGCGGATACAGAGACGGAGGTTATGGGGGTGGTAGCCGAGGGGGTAAGAAACCCCTTCCCACTGAGCCACCCTATACTTGCTATATAGGAAACTTGCCCCGTGGCGTGGTACAAATGGATCTAGAAGAGATATTCAGAGATTTAAAAGTAAGTGTGATCCTCCTCATCTTCACAATGCCAATCTATTATAAACTTCATCTTCACAATGTCAAGCTATTACCAACTTCATCCTATACCTTGACTGCAATAGACACCGTTCTTATATCACAGAAATTTGTAAAGGTAGCAATTTGATATGATTGTATGCCAGTGAATACAGCCAATCAGAGTCTCGACAGAAGATTTATAAACACTAGCTTTGTCTGTGGCCATCTTCACTATGTCTGGTCATTAAAAACTCCATCTAATGCCTTGACTGCAATAGCTACCTTTCTTGTATCACATCAGCATGGTGCAGAAAAGTAGGAGGTAAAACTCCATTCCCTTCATTTCTTGTATCACGGAATGCAGCGATTTGATTGGGATGGTTCGCTAGCTAATGCAGCCAATCAGAGTCTTCGACAAAAAGAAAGTCTTATGGCTTAATTTTCTATATCACTATACAATTGATACCGGTAATAATAAAAGAATATATTTTGTTTACTAGGTACACAGTGTGAGATTGGTTAGAGATAGAGATACAGATGAATTTAAAGGTACCATCAAATTTTTACTTCTTTAGAATGTTTTAGGTACAGTCTTATTTTATCCAGATTCTTTTAAGGCTTGGTCGTGAAATATTTTAAATTGGATGTCAAGATGTAGAGAAATAAGTCTCTTATTTTCTTTTTTAAACAAACCTTTCACGCTTTTGTTTTTCCAGGTTTTGCCTACGTAGAATTTGATGATATTGAGTCTTTGAAAGAAGCTTTAACTTATGATGGTGCTGTAAGTATCTTTTTAAACCAATCCATTTTGATATGCCCATATGAAATATGCCCAAAGTGCCTAAGAAAGAAAGAAAAAGAAATTCTATATTTTACAAGGATAATAACTTAGGTTCACAGTTAAGGATCCTTTCTACCAGCTGATCTGTGGCCAAAACTCTTTGCATTGATCGTTCCCAGATTATCTGTACCCATTTACAGCTGGGTCGACTATTGATAAACTGAACTAATCCACTGTCAGTTTGGTTATTGACTTAGTCAATTTGACATTCCTAAAGGTATTGTGTATTATTACTCTTGTTATTTTCAGTTACTGGAAGATAAAAATTTACGAGTTGATGTCGCTGAGGGGCGTAGAAAAGACAATAATAGAGGTCGTGGAGGTCAGTGAATTTTGATTGGCTTTATGCTCTGATGTCTTTATTCAAATTAAAGGCCATCATTCGACCCTTTTGGGGGTTGGTTTGAGTTTTGAATGTTTGTAAATTGTCTTCAGAATTACGAGTACTGCATGGTTAGATTTGAAAATTTTGAATTCCTCTTAAAAGTCCTTGAAATTTCATTTGAAATAGTTTGAATTTTTTTTTTTGCAGGATTCCAAAGCCGTGGGGGTCCCGGAGGAAGTCGAGGTGGAAGAGGGGGTTATGATAATAGGGATCATGATAACTTTGGTGGTGCTAGAGGAGGGTACCGCGGTGGGCGTGGAGGCCGTGGGGGGTATGATAGGGGTGATGATAGATATGATGGTGGAAGATATGGGGGTGGGGGAAGAGGACGAGATTCCAGGCCCCGTAGAGATAGTCATAATGATCCTGAGCTACAGGAAGCTTCTCCAGGTATGTTACAGGTCCTTCTTCGTTTTTAACCAGTTTCCCCCTGTCAGTAATGCAGGTAAGAGGGGCTGACATGGAAAAAGCGTCTAATCGTTAGGATGGGACAATAAACAGAGGCCCTGTGTGCCACAGGCTGTGCACTTTAAAGATCCCTCAACAGTTGAAAAGAGCAGGCTTATGCCGCCTTCATTAGCCCACATGATGCAGAAAAGTAGGACGTAAAACTCCATTCATTTCATTTCATTTTTAACCAATAAGAAATTGCTATATGAAGTGATTGATGTACCTGTATTTACCAGTCATGTCTAATTAGATCTCCAAAGTGAAAGACTGCCATTTTGATCTTTGAAACATTTTCTATCAAATAGTGCCAGGATTTTGGGATTTTTCGTGTCTTCTCAATGATAGTGGTACAAGATCTTTAGTCTCAATTTGAAATGTCGGATTCAAAAATCAATAGCCTCGATCCTTACCTTTTCTCTTCAATTTCAGAATCGGCAGCACAGCGCCCAAAACTAAAATTATTACCGCGAAGTAAACCAGACCCGGTGGCTGATATAGCCCATACAGAACGCAACTCTAGTATATTTGGAAGCGGGAAACCAAGAGATAAGGTTGACGATTTTGACGTCCCAGCAGACGCAACTCCACGCAGTCGTACCACTAGTGAAAATAGTGTTCATTAAAATCATGTCTCCGTGATTGTTTGTACATATACTTTGGGGTGAGTATTTTTTTGTAATTTTTGACCCCATGTCTGTTCACATTACAGTGTTTAGGCACACCTACAGTATAGTGTACATTAGGGTGATTAGTCTCACCCTCAATATTGCCTTACCATTAGTGACTATTCATTGATGCATGCCCACAACAGGATGTTGATGGTTATCTAGAGATGCTAGATTTCACTGCATGATTATTGTGACATTGGGGAGTCATATTGACTTTTGAACATTTATTGTGGTGTGTTAAATTTAAGTAAACATGTCAACTCTTAAATGTGACAAATGATTTTGATGTATTAAATAGTGACAGGTGACCATGCTTACTCTTTTAAAAACACCTGATGATACTTCTCGTTTGACAAGTCCACTACATTACTATACTACCATCTGTCTGACTCTAGACATGCATGTGTTTTATTTTTTAGTACAATATGACTAAGCTGTTTCCTCCAATTGCATATTGAGGTTACTTAGGCAACCAGTTTCATAAAATAGCATCATAAGTTTCTATACCAATAATTACAAATTATTTTTTCATTTTGTTTTAGGGTGTGGCTTTATAGTAAGGAGATCTCCTTCGATTGTGAAACAGAAATATATGATTCAGCTTTCAATATGGACATCTGAGTCAAGGTTGACAGAGTTATGTCCCTTAGTTTAAATTAAGAATGGAGTTATGCCCCTTTGTAAAAGCTGAAACTGTAATTATGGATTGTGAAATTAAAATTTTTGTTGTTTTAAAATCAATTTACTGTAAATATTATAATTTCCAATTTAGAATAAGTCACTTTCTTCATGTGCACTGGGAAAAACTGCACATGCTTTTCATGTGAAATCTGAAAATAGTTTGTCATGTATTTGACACCCCTCAACTTTCTATTGAACTCATCCACACATGCATATTTTCAATCAATATGAGAATTGTTATGTATGTTTGGATGATCTCAATTGCAAACTTTGTATAATGCCAAAATCGTGGACTTTTACGACATGAATTTATGCTTGGTGAGTTTAGCTAATTTGCAAATTTGAGTTTATTTTTGTAGTTAAAAATGAACTTCTTCTAACAGCAAGAGTTTCATTAGCAGCATTAATTTTATACATGTTCAGAAGAGCTCATTTGTAAAAGGGGGGATGTTACGATGCATGTCCGAATATTTTCAACTGTATTTTCATGACACTATTTAGTCAATCATTTTAGTCAGAGTCAAACATGGTTTATATCTTACTTTTTTATGATGCCTGCGCCTATTAAATCAATTTTGAAAATAATTTGAAGCATTATTTTTTAGAATGAAAATTTGACCTTTAGAGTTAGAAACATTGCTATTAAAACAATGTTACGTATGTATAATACAAAACGAAAATTTTATATACAAAACTCAACCAAAGCACAAAATCAAAAGTTAAAACGAAAAAAAACAGAAGTGATAATAAGGACATTCTGCCAAAAAATAAAATGACCTGACCAAAACCTTGAAAACATAAAAATATTTGAATTAATGCAGTAAGATGATTGGTTAATTAAACAAGATTGTGAACCATTTTACTTGCTTAATTGATGTTGTATATATCTAAATATTTATTTTATCAACTGATAGAGTTCAGTTCCAGTTTTTTGGGTGAAAATTTGACATTTGGTTTGTCTACAATTAATGAAAACATGGTTTTGATTTTAAACAGTCAAATTTCATTCTTAATTGTTGTAGGGAAAGCTTAAACTAAGCTCTATATTCTAAAGAAAATATTTAGAAAACTATACAGATAGCTGAAATTGAGCTCTATCAGTTGGTAAAGTAAATATTTAGATGACTATACAGATAGCTGAAATTGAGCTCTATCAGCTGGTAAAGTAAATATTTAGACACTAATACAGATAGCTGAAATTGAGCTCTATCAGCTGGTAAAGTAAATATTTAGACGACTATACAGAAAGCTGAAAATAAGCTCTTATCAGCTGGTAAAGTGAATATTTAGATGACTATATAGATAGCTGAAATTGAGCTCTATCAGCTGGTAAAGTGAACATTTAGATGATTATGTAGAAAGCTAAAGCTAAGATATATCAGAAGAAAATCCTGTATTTTTGACCTTTTGACCTTGACCTCAGCTTACTTTGTTCACCAGCATTTTGTAATAGAATCATTATTTAAACATGTGCTCTGTACATTCTAGCTAGAACATTAGAACTATGAAATGGACATTTTGCAAGGAATTTTTGTCCATTTTCCTGATTGATGACCGATTTCATTGTATTATATACATTTTACATAAAAATCATTTAATAATTAAACTCTCTGGTGTTGTTGATTTCTTGGGGTGTAAGCAGCCCCGTCACCAGGAATGAATTGGTGCTGAAGCTCAGATTTTGTATTCAGAAAATTTGAAGAATTAAAGGCCTAGAGAATTCCTTACTGACAATTTTGAGGTGCCAAAAACATCAAAATCTATATCTTTTTGATTTTGTACAAAGACACAGTAAATAAATCAATCTCTGCTGAACTGAAGAAGTTTTTGCTGGGGCACAGACCCCACCCTTAGAATGGGGCTGGGTGTAAGGGATGGGGTGTTGTCCTTTCTGTGAGATAGGAATGCAAGTTCAGCAGGGTTGGGATTGATTGTGATAATAGTATTTGAAAGTTGACACCAGGCTGACTCTCAGAAGCCCTGGCACTGGTATTAGAATTGTTTTCTTGCATTGAAGAGGCTTCTAACCTATGGCATCCAATGGCTACCATTTCAGGCCGTAATGCCAATCTCCTTACTAGTATGTGATTTGAAAGACCAAAAAGAAGCCTTCTTACCTTGTCCAGTAAACTTATCTGAGAAGAACTATTCCGTCTTTATTAGCCCACTTGGTGCAGAAAAGTAGGACGTAAAACTCCATTCATTTCATTTCATTTGAGAAGAACTATTGTAAATGAATCCCAAAAGTATCTAATTGTGGCCAAGAATATGACATTGTAAAATATGATCATTTTGAATATCACCCAGAATGATGTACAATACAAGCAGAAGCCTGCATCTTATTTGGAGTAGGCCTATAAAGACCAAGGTGTTTTTTTTCCATATGGGTCCCTTCAACCTGCATCACTGAAGGGGACACAGGGTTTGAAAAATCCAAGTATATTTCATTTTGGAAATGTGGACATCAAGAAATACTCATTACACCTTCAAGAGTTCATCCCTATTACAGTTTTCTGAAATCAGGTCGAAATGACTCACATGTGGGCGATTTGGTCTTTACCTGGTCTATTCGGTATGCAAACAACGCCCAGGAAGTAGAATCAAAGATGGCCGACATAAATAAAATAAATTTAGCTTTGTGAGGAAAATTAACATTTTAGTGAATCTCTCCACTTAAACTTTGCAAAATGTCGCGGGCCATGATTCCAAGCCAACAGAAGTTGGCGGAGAAGCTGACAATTCTGAATGATCGAGGTCAGGGTATGCTGACTCGGATTTATAACATCAAAAAGGTGAGCCAATATTGAAATAAAATAAATCTTGCAAGTTTTTGATTTATTATGTCGATTTTTTCAAGAGTCACACATACAGGGGTGTATCTACAAGATACATTATAGGGTAGGGGGTGCAATATTGGGCACTGTTGCTGCTTTGCCTCCTCCCTTTCCGGTAGAGCGGACCTCAACGGCTAAAGGGAGAGGTATCTCTCCCAGAATCCAAATGATTTCAGATGGCCTGAGGAGAATTTTGATCATTTAGAGGGAGAGGGCTTCATTTTCATTTCGAACACTTTGTAAAAAGTCCTGAGGGAGGGGGGCATGGTCCAAAACTTACTGTCTTAATGCACCACTACATTAAGTTAATCCATTACAATATTTGTTTGTCAAAACAATTAGAAATCCAATTTTTCAAACTTCATGTATTTCAGATGTTAGGAAATCCTGAGAATAAGCCATCATTCTTGTCTGATAAATCATTAGAAGCAGGTATTAAAAATGTAATGAAGAAATTCCCCCAGTATGACATGAAGTCCAACCAGGTAGGTTTTTATCCGTTCAGATTTATTTCTCAAAATATCTCAAAACCCTTGCTCAAAAATCTTTGTGATAGGTGTGGTCTTCGTTAATGTGAAATTCTACACTTTGAGATATTTAATTTTAGATTTTTTTGGTAACCAGAGGGACTAACATGAAAAGATTTGTCTTTTCCCCAAAAGTTTGCACAAATTGATAACCGTTCCTTTCATTATTTAAGAACTTTTAGAATTTAACATTCAAATGCAGATAATTCTGGACACACCTAGATTTGAAGGCTCAAATTTCGACAGTGAGCTGTGATCACTATTACTGATTAGTTTGTGAAAAAATTCTTGTTTCTGAGACTAAAGTATGATCGGTAAAAAAAAATGGCGCATTGTCCTTTTAAGCAATTTTACAAGGTAAGCTAACCAGCACTTGTAAATGAATAGTCCTTGCTTTGGACCTAGGCCCGTACTTTCTATGAGTTAAATTCTCATTTCACCTTAACACAACTTTTATTATTTTTCAGTTGAACAGCATCAATGCTATGAAAGGAGATATTGTAAAAGGATTACAGTTATATTACTATACATTTGTTGACATCTTGGATTTTAAGGTACCGTAACAATTAAACTTTGTTTCGAAGATTTTTTTCATTAATTAGTGTCTTCATTACTAAATTAAAGAGATTGTTAAGAGCTTTTGTAAAGTTAATGGTTATCAGGGACACAGGTATCATCAATTTGTACCATTCCAATATTCAATCAGACGTCTGTGGTTCTTGCATTTCCACTAAAACTATGCATTTTGTGACGTCACTATTAGTGATGTTCCGATTAGCGGATATTGGAGGTCAAGCGATGTTACTAATTGATTTCCAATTGAAAGTCAGCGATATCAGCAAACAATAATAAATACAGTCATGTTGTTTTTTGTTTGTTTTGTGTAGATAATAACAAATTTCCAATAATAAATTAAACTTAACTTTTAAGATTACATAATCGCTCCGAAATTATTATTTTCTACCGATTGCCCATCACTAGTCACTGTTGTAAAAGCTGCTATTGATATGAAAGGACCATTGCCATAGTGACGTGATAAAACCCATAGTTCAAATGGAATTATGATTTATGTATCTGATTTTCACAAAGACTAATTCCAACCAATTTCTGGATTATAATAACCAAGTAACAGATTTTATTAATTTTATATTTTTAGGATCATGTAGTAGATTTATTAACAACTATTGATGCCTGTCAAGTCTACATGGATATTGTAAGTCAGCTTTTTGTTCAGATATACAGCTCCCTGGAGAGTACAGCTCTAAAGGATAAAAGATCATATCTAGAATAGCAGATTATTGTCTTTAAGATGCCCCTCTTCAATAACCAATAGGAGCAGACAGTTATGACAGATCTTTATAAACATTATAATATTCATATAAGAATGAAAGGGATTAGGGAACAGGCTTTCGCCTATATTACCCCTATCCCGATAATGACAGACAATTCTTTCCTTGCACATTTGTTATATTTTCAAAACCGTAATTTGTTTTGGTTTATAATCAAATCAATATTTCAATGCCAGTTATTATCACCGATTGTTATCAACCTTGCCTAAAGTCTTGCTTAATAATAGCATTGAACTTCTATCATAAATGCCAATATGAAAATAGTACAACTTAGTTTGCACAATTGATAACCTTTCATTATTCTAACAAAACAAAAAATCATTTTTTACCCCGTTTTAGAATTTCACAAAGAAGTTTAATGGACAATTAGTAATAATAAATTTAAATTTATATAAATGCCAATATGAAAATACAACTGTTATCAGATTAGTAATAGTAAAAGTTGAATTTATTGTGCAGATCTACATAAATGTTCAATTATGCTTACAAATTTTTTAATAAAATATTCAGAATTTTTTACCTCTATTTGTAAATTTCAGACGTTAAATTTTGATATAACCAGGAATTACCTTGACCTGATAACAACATACGTGTCTATCATGATTCTTGTATCAAAAGTTGAAGATAGAAAACTTGTGCTGACCTTATTTAACGTAGCTCACGAATTTCTACACAGTAAAGGGTAAGGATTGATTTTGTGGATTTTGTTTTCCTGGCTGTCAGTGATGCTGGTCAGATGAGACATTAAAAAGAGATCCAGTGTGCTTCAGACTGTGTATGTTAAGGTCCTTTGATTTTTGGAAATTGAACAGTAGGCTATTGCAGCTGTTTTGACAAAATTTCCATCATTGCTCACTGCAACGCATTGTGCATCCTCATTAGCTTAGAAGAGTGTTAACTCCATTTCATTTTATTCCAGAGACCCGTCCTACCCCAGACTAGGACAACTTGTGATGGACTATGATCCTCCAATGAAGAAAATGGCTGAAGAATTTGTCCCACATTCCAGGGTAATCATTTCTTCTTAACCAAGACTATTAAGTTTAGACTTCTCCTAAGTGTGGAGAAAATAACAAATTCCTTTAAAAAGTTTTGAAATGAAACTGAAATTGTAATGAGTAACTGACTTAATAGAAGTCTCATTGGTCCCCTGTCAGTGTTGCAGGTGTTAAAGGTTGACATTGTGAGAAACCGAAGCCAAGTTGCTGAAGTCTATGCTTATCAAAAAAACTCTGAAAGTTGAAAATCGACTTAGAGCATTTCTGCTGTCTTGTCAAAATTTCACTCATTGTACACTACATGGTGTTCTCAATCCACTAAAGTGAAGAAAAGTCGGACATAACTTCCCATTTTCTTTCTTTCTTTAAACGTAAATGATAAAATGGCCTTGAAACTTATAGGAAGATTTGTTTAAGTTTTACCTCTGTTTTCAGTTTTTGATGCCTGCGTTACTGTCACTACATAAAATCTATCCTAATCGTAATATACCAGCCAGTCAGATGAGATCGTTACAAGTACTCAGTTTATTGTCTGAGCCGTTAAAAATGTCCACTGTACCTAATACTGACACAGTAAGTTTTCTATTTCACTCTGTTTGAATTTAACAAATACCAAATAAACATTATTAGCTATGTTGACTCTCTGAAAGAGATGCTGATTTGCCAAACCTAAATACCAAATAAACATTATTAGCCATGTTGACTCTCTAAAATGGATGTTGATTTGACAATCAGTTTTATTAGCTAAGTGGCCTCCTGTCTGAAAGTTGACCAACTGAGGTGTTCAAATATCTTAAAGATAACAAAATCAATTTAGATATTTTAATGTTATTTATTTTGTTTTATTTAACACCATTTGACTTATATAAGACCTGAAGAAAACCATTATTTGAATTTAACTTTCAACATCGACTCCATCAGGCATTCAGCCATATAACCATTTTTTTCCCACACTTTCTACGATTTAACATTTTCTATTTTTTCAATCATAAAGAAATTTATTTGTATTATAGATTCAGTGTGATTATCTATCAGTAGATACAATGGAGAGATGGCTTATCTGTAAGTTTTTATAATCTTTTAGTTTGTTTGTTTTTATCATATTTCAGTCTCCGTCAAAATTTGAGCCTTCAGGTCCAGAATTATCAGCATTTGAAAGTTTTGAGACTCTGCCATATTTCTAGCTCGAGTTATTTATGATGGGTTTATGTAATTTTCGTGCAGTTTTGTACTTTTGAAGACTATATTCATATATTCAACACCCAAATCAACCCTGGAAAATAACCAACCATGGCCTTTAAGCTGTGCGATAAGATATCTGAGCATATCAGTCATGTTAATACTGCATTGGAAGCTCCTTCTTCAATTTTTTTTTAAATATTTCAACATTTCAGTTGGATTGATGCTGTGTTATCAACATCTATCAGAGGCCCAGGTTTGGGATATGTGGAAAACAGCTCTACAATCTAGTTATATTATACAGTTATGCCGAGATGAGATATTACATATACATAGCTATGTTGTCAGTTTCTTCGATAGCTTGAAAGGGTATGTCTTCTTTGTTTAAAAAAAAGTCATTAAGGTTCTATAGCACAGTCGTTTAGAGTGTCGGCTTGGTTATGTCAAGCAAATGGCGGCTGTGGGCTCTGATCTCGATTGGCGTGTGAAAGTCTGATGACATGGAATAAGTCATCTTCATTCATAATTCCATTTGACCCAGCTGTAAATGGGTACAGATAATCCAGGAAAGATCAATGCCAAGAGGTTTGGCCAAGTACCAGCTGGTAGAAAGGATCCTTAATTGTGAACCTAAGTTGTTATCCTTGTTTCTTTCATTCTTTCAATATAAGTTTTGGGCCCATCTTTTTTTGACTAACATGTAATATTATTTTCTAGACATAATATACAGGGTAAAAGAGTGAATGAAGTCAAAGATTTACAGGCTAATGCTCTAACAAACGCGTAAGTCAATTTAGATTTGTTTTTACATGTGCATGCTAGGAGGTATTGTCATAAAATGAAGTTTTAGCCTAAAACTTTGTGTGCTTTGGTCTGTGCATGCACATATCAAAAAATCTAGAAAGAGTGACTAAAGAAAAAAAGAATTGTTAGAAAAGTTAGTTGCCAACTCTTTTTTTTTTTTTCTTTTCTTTTTTTTTAAAATATAAAATAATATGATGTTTTTGTAGACCAAGTAAACATCGTGAAATGAGGAAGTTTTTAAGAAGTACTTTACGTGAATTAACTTTGATATTTACTGAACAACCAGGACTACTCGGACCAAAAGTAAGTCAGTTTCTTCCCTTTTTAGATCAACCTGGTTTCCCCCTATCAGGGATGCAAGTCAGAGAGGTTGATATGGAAAAGTTACTTAGATAATAAGTAAATCTAAAACAGGGTAGATTAATTGGTGTCACTGTTAAGACAAAGTTTACCTTATTGCATACTGCCTTGTATCTTCTCATTATAGCACAATTGTTGTAAAACATTAGGACAGATGTTTTCAACCTTTTTTTTGGTATTTACCCCATAGTTGAAAACCTCTGCATTAGGACAAAAACTTCAAATTATCTTTTTCGTGTTTTTGTAGGCTCTGTATGTAGTTCAAGCGTTATCAATGACAAGAGATGAGATCAACTGGTTACTACGCCACGTTTTAAATCCTCCGTCAAAACGACATAACATCAAATTATCACAAGAGGATTTCTACGACAGGTAAAATATGTTTTTTATCGACTGTACGCCAGTGAATACAGCCAATCATAGACCTCGATAGACAGATTGTAAACATTAAGGCTTATCGTAAACAGACCTTCAGTCGGGGACTCTGATTGGCTGTATTTGGTAGCGTACAACCCAAATGGCTGCATTTACAATCTTCCACGGTACTATGTTTGCTATTGCAGTCAAGGTATAAGAAGTTTGTTATAGTTTGAACTTGTGAATATGCTGAAGATCAAGCTTTGTTTGACAAATCGACAAAATATTATTATCTAAGACAAAATATATTCTGTTATTTATGTTTTCAGACAGCTACCAGAGTTGTTATTTTATACAGAGGAATTAAAGGGATTGGTAAAGAAATATAACCAAGTTATACAAAGATATTATATTCAGTATCTCAGTGGTTATGATTCTGTTTATTTAAATCAACTGATACAGGTTGGTACCATTGGCTTTTTTTCTCTCTAATATAGAGGCTGGTAACAGGGTAATACATTTTCGTTTCTTCATTGTAATCTAACAAGTTTTCTGTCACAGCCCTGTTCTAATGATGTGTTGTGTTCTATTTGGGGTTGTGTTTCAACAGACGGCTTGGATTCAGAGATAAAACACATTCAATGAAATTGAGACCTCCATCTTTATTTAGGCTAGCCACCTATCTCTCAAGGGAGATAACTCTTCATACAGACATGATATTTCAAGACCACAATATAGCAATATGTTTGACCATGATATTACAATATGACAGTAAGACCTGTTTCTGGAAAACAATGATGAATTATGGGATATCAAAACTCAAAGAGGGTGTCATTTTACTCTACTTCAAGTGTCTCCTCTCACTATTCATTATGTTACTATGAGTTCTTCTTTTGGTTTAAGAATTGTATAATATGAATTTTTTATGTATATTTTGTAGAATTTGTCGATGTGTCCAGAAGATGAAGCTGTTATTTTATCATCGTTCTATGGCAGTATTTCTAGTTTGACTGTCAAACAAGGTGAGTGGAGATCAATTGTTGAATTCAATTGCCATGACCGTGTGTCTACGATAAAAAAATTCCTGATAATGGAAATCTTAGTACTATGAAATTTTTTCGATGCCATTTGGAACCTGTAATCCAAATATTGGAAATTTAGCATCCGTAACTGATCCAGCTGCCCTGATGATGATTATAGATCGTGTATAATATTAATTACAGTTGAAGATAACGAGGTGTTTGATTTCCGTGGATTACGACTCGACTGGTTCAGACTACAGGTAAGATTAATTGTTCAGGAGGTTTTTAAACTTTTCTAAGCTACTAATAATATATAAGCGCCTTTGTGATAGTGACGTCATAAAACACATAGTTTAAAGGTGCGGGCCCGAATTTGATATTTAATTGGTCTTAAAGATTCAATGTGTAATAATGTTGTGTATATTGTAGGCATACACCAGTCTCAGTAAAGCTGGTCTGGTATTAAAGATTCAATGTGTAATATTGTTGTGTATATTGTAGGCATACACCAGTCTCAGTAAAGCTGGTCTGGTATTAAAGATTCAATGTGTAATATTGTTGTGTATATTGTAGGCATACACCAGTCTCAGTAAAGCTGGACTGGTATTAAAAGATCATCAAGATTTAGCTATACATATGAACACTGTCACTTTCCATACCAAGATGGTGGACTATCTTGATGAACTGTTAATAGAAACTGGAGATTTATCCATATATTGGTAAGTTTTAAGAGTTATGTTTTTGTTGTTATCAAAAAACCCTGCATTTACTACTTTTGACAAAAGTTTGTTTCATGCTGCAGATACTTTTTCCAGATATACAGTCCATATAAGGACATCTTGTTTTTTTAAATTTAAGTTTGACTTCCAGTGTAGTAATTTATGTGTACCATCAAATTCAGCCATTTCATTGAATATGAATCGGAATCCCAAGAGATGTCTAAATAACATCACAAAGGGGTTGTTTACTTTGATCAAGCACCTCTCATTCCAAAAAACATTGTCCTGATGAGGATTATATATCTGAGACACGTGTTTGCAGGATGAGATGCCAAATCATTATTAATAGTATAGGTATGCTACATATTGACTTTTAAATCATTTTGAGTGAGTAGGCTTACTTTACTTGTACACCTCAATTCTAACTTTGTCAAGTTAACTCCCATTTCCAGAAAAGTTGTCCTGATGGTGATTAATTATCCTATACATGAGTTGACTGCATTAATTAATATTTAACAACCTGAATCAGCCAAATTTGGTACTGAACACATCAAGCAACACTCAATTTGTTTTTGGTTTTATTTTGATTAATTTAATCTGTATTAAAATCTTATTAGTTTTTATCTATCTTTTCAGTTTTTATACGAATTTATTTGAACATCAGTTTAAACAGTGTATGGAATTTCCAGCTCAACATCGATTTAGTATTATCTTTCCTATGATTTGTTCACATTTTATGAACGCTACACACGATCTGTGTCCTGAAGAGGTACTGTATTTTCGTTGTTGGGGGTGGGGTGTTGAGGGGACAGAAAAGGGATCTTTTGAAAAAGAAAAGTTGTTCATATTTTCCTCAAGTTTCTTATGACAATGTCATTTAGAGGAATAGTCATAAATGTGAGTCTTTTTTGAGCTAAATATTGTAAACCTGATTAAAATTAGAACAAAAGTTTTCTAGGCTATCTTCACTTTGGGAATTCAATACATCTTTGGTTTAGCCATTAGTCAATAGAAAAACCTTATGAGTTGGTAGTTTATCAATTATCTTTGCTGTCTTTGAAACGTCTCCCTCATTGCCTTTCCTCTTTTTATTATGAAATGAGAAGGTGCAAATCCTCTACCATTCTTGCAAAGATAATCTAAATTTTCTGTATTTGTTTTTCAGCGTCATTCTATTGGTACTACGAGTGTACAATACGCTCACTGGTTTCTTCGTGAAATGTCAGAAGAAATTAACCAGGTTATAACAGCTATCTGTGAAGAACAATGTATGCTTAGTTACAAGGTAAATAACTTTGCGGTGAAATTGCTGCATTTTGGGAGAGTTGAAGAGTTTTTTCTCAGAATGTTATGAAGATATTTTTCTCTGTTGGTTTTTAAGAGAAAATTTCTTAAATACTAGACTAGAGCTCATCTTGAAACGTGTTTTGAATACACAATCCCCTTCATCAGACTAGTTTCTTTTTTAAATGGAGGTTCAATATACAATGTAGGACTTTGTAGGCAAATGAGAAAAGAAGGTATATAATACTATTTCAGTTGTTACCAAAACACAGTGCAGCAGCCATTTTAAACACAGCTCAGCGAAAGAAAAAACAAGATAAGAAGAAACAGACGCAAGAACCAGAAAAACCTGGACAAGAAAGTATGAGGAAAAACAGAGAAAATTTCACAAGGTTTGTTTTTCTAACATTTTCCTAAAATATTGGCATTTGGCAGTTGATTTTTTAACTCAGTTCCCCTCGTTATTTATGTAGCTCTGAAGGGCTGACATAGTCAAAGTGTCTTATCGTTCAAATGAGACAATTAACAGAAGCAATGCATTCTACGAACGTTTGATATTTAAGAGTCCTCGACAACTAGAAATCATCGCATCGTAAGTTTTTTGTCTTCATGTACCCAATAAGGTGCTGAAATGTAGCAAGTAAAACTCCATTTCATTTCATTTCATCCAAGCTAGACTTGAAACTCTATTTCTTACTTATTTTTTATATATCAGAATGGACAAACTGCACATGGCCCTGACTGAGTTATGTTATGCTATAAATTATTGTAATGTTATACAAGTATGGGAACACGGCTTTGTACCGCGAGAATTCTTCTTACAACAATTAGAGGCTCGATTTAACAAGTAAGTTAGGATTTTTACGTACCTATATACCCCTGATTCCCAACCTGGGGTGTTTTCACCACCTGGGGGTGTGGGACTAGAGTGTCAGGGGTGTGGCCAACTGGTGTAGGAGAAGAATTTATTTTGAAGTGAGAGAGCACCTCACATCATCACATGCTGGAAATGTGGATGAAACAAATTTTTTGGGTTGTGAAAGGTCCACGTGATTGCTCCAGGGGTGTAAAGACTGAAATAGTTCGGGAACCACTGCTATATACCAAAGTGATCTTAGGATGAGTTCAACTGTAGTATTATATCTGCCAATGATTTTTTAGTTACTTCCCTTGTTGTAGTATTTTTATATATAATGATATGAAATCGAAGCGGATGAGTTCAACTGTTACAATATTTCAGCAAACTATATTTTAGTTATTGCTCTTCATCTCAAATTTGTGAAATTTTTTAAGCTTCTATTAGATGTTACTGGCTTATATCTTAAGCCCTGCTGCTGTTGCATATGGTTACGAATGTGAATAGCGGTTATTAGTTTCGAACGTGACTCTCATGTAACTGAGTTGTGAGTTGTGTTCGGAACTCATGCCAACTTTCATTATTCGCAACTATACACAACTGATAATCACTATGGTGTGAGAGAATCTTTAACAAATAAACTCAGTATATATGTCTGTAATTGAATAATTTTGATATTATAGAGCTCTGGTTGGTATGATGATGTACAACCCTGAAACCAATGAAATAGCCAAACCCTCAGAGCTATTAAACGGTGTACGAGCCTATATGAATGTATTACAGAGTATTGAAAACTATGGTAAGGTATTTTGACTGTTCCTATTTGTACCCTTCCCCCCCCCTCCTCCACCAATTGTACCCCCACTTCGTTTCTAACAAATTTAGAAATACAGTTTTTTTTATGCATATTGCCCTAAAATATGTGTCAGAATGCATCAATTCTGTGGGAAAATTCCTCTCAGATGCTCCATTGCAGGCGTTAGCCTATGATGGTTCCACAGAGCTGCTTATTTTGACAGTTGTACCCCCAATAAGTCTGTCTGTTCTTATTTGTACCCTTAGTCTCGGAAGGCTGGGGCCACCACTCCTACTTGTTTGTTTTGTGATTTTTGAATATTTGTGATCATAAACGCAAAATTGAATTGAATTATTCTCTCTTACAGTACATGTAGATATGGCTCGAGTTTTTAACAACGTTCTTCCACAACAAACTCAACCCACAGACAGTACTGGTGAAAAAACTATTACAGCTAACTATACCAACTGGTAAGTTGACTCCCTGACCTCCTCCCTGACCTCAGACCTCATCCTTGATCCCCTAACCTCATTCTTGACCTCTAACCTCTAACCCACAGACAGTACTGGTGAAAAAACTATATCAGCTAACTATACCAACTGGTAAGTTGACTCCCTGACCTCCTCCCTGACCTCAGACCTCATCCTTGATCCCCTAACCTCATTCTTGACCTCTAACCTCTAACCCACAGACAATACTGGTGAAAAAACTATTACAGCTAACTACCAACTGGTAAGTTGACCCCGACCTCCTCTAACCTCAGACCTCATCCTTGATCCCCTAACCTCAACCCTGACCTGATACCTCATCCTTGACGCGTGATCTTTTACGTCTAACCTTCGAAGCTCCTGTAACCCTTTTGTTGTTTAGACTTTTGTTGTTTAGACGTATATTTCAAGGAGATTTGTTCTGCAGAAAACCACGCAAGATAAAGACCAAATGCTTCCATCCTAGCAAATTTTCCTTCATAACAAACTTCAAAGTGTAAAGCTGTAATAAAGTTATCTATTTCTATATTTTAGGTATTTAGAAGTATTGTTAAGAAGAGTAACGTGTAATGCTGGTCATATTGTCTATTCACCCAGTCAGAAAGCTTTCGTTAGTATTGATCATAGCGAGGGACAGTTCTTCGCTGCTGAGGAATTCGCTGATTTGACAGGTATGTTACTCTTTAGTCAGAGAATGTTAACTCTACATTAGACATTCTCATGTATAAGTAAGATCACAATTGAGTTCAACTTTCTTGATTTTTCATTGAAGGAAATTTGAATTACTTCCCTTGCCTTTATAACATCATTATGGTGGGATTGAGTTTTGCTATTAGAGATCTTCAGACACTGATCTATTTCACCCTGTGCCCCTACTGAGTTTTGCTATTAGAGATCTTCAGATAACTGATCTATTTCCCCTACTGAAGTTTGAAAGATTTTCAGACAACTGATCTATTTCAGACTAAAGTATTATTTATCTTATTTTCCAGAATTACGAGCTCTAAGTGAACTGATCGGTCCGTATGGAGTGAAGTATATGGGAGAGAGATTAGTATTAAATATTGCTAGTCAAGTTGATGAACTCAAGGTTAGTTACATATTTTACTCTCCCTACTGATGCATTGGTGTTTATTGTCTTTACCTTTTACAAATGTCTGTCCTTAATTAGCTTGTGTTCATTTCATTTGTGCGGATTAGTTTCTAAGAAACAGAATCATCCATATTTCACATGAATAACAACTTAGGTTCTCAAAGATCATGTCTACGAGCTGGTTCTAGGCCATGCCTCTTAGCCAAGGTATTACCGATAACAATTTAGGTTTGCAAGTATCCTTTCAATCAGCAGGAGTCTGGTCAAACCCATTGGCAGATTTTTCCTAGATTATCTGTACCCTTTTACATCTGGCAAATTTTTTTCTTTATAACAATTTCTCTTCTGAATCTATCTGAAACTATCAGAGAAACGTCATTATATACAATCTGCATTGCATGACTTATAATCATGAGTCTTTTACCATTTTCAGAAATTAGTGATCAGTAATAAAGACCTACTCAGTCAGTTACGAACCAGTTTCGATAAACCAGAAGTCATGAGAGAACTGTCTAAAAAACTCCAAAGTAAGTTGTGTTTTTCTATCCCATAATATTATCTTGTTTTGGATTGAAGTTATATTACTAACCTCTTTATTAATCTTTTTGCATTTTTGAGATTTTATTATCATATAGATATTAATTTCTGAATTTTCTTAAAGGAGCCATGGTGGCTTAGTGAACAACCTGAGGGTAGCGTTTTTATCTTGGGGTAGGTAAAGATCAAAACAGGAGTCAAGGTAACTCACAATGTAAGACAACTGCTTGTTAATCACGGATTTCAGTACTTGAATTGAAGAATAACAAGAAGTGTTATTGAAATTAGTATGCCCACAACTTGGGTTCTATTCCAATACATACAGAGTTGTTGTCTTTGTATGGAGACACAGTAGACAAAAACTTGTACAAAGCAAATTATTAAGCATTTTGTTACAGTTTGCATGGATGAATTGGTATTTTTGAAATGAAAATCTTGATAACTTTTGAATATGTAATATATCTGAATGTGCCTGTATTAATAGAAGAATATAATGCATTTTGTGGGTTTTACTTGACTATGTGCCAAATACTCTTGTCAATTTAATTAGTGTTTGTCATGTTGATTAGTATAATCTAAAGTAGTATTTGGCATATAGTAGAGTAGAACCCAGGGTGTTGATGTCAGAAATATTTAAATTTAGACTGATATTTTATGTAAAAAAATAAAAAAAATAAAAAAAAAAAAATTAGACTGATTTAATGTGCCCTTACACTATAGTGATTACTAGTTGAGTATGGTTGTAAATAATGATAGTGGTCATGAGTTTTGAATACAACTCTCAACTCAGTTACATGAGAGTTACATCGAAACTTATAACAGCTATTCTTATAGGCAACCATACGTAACTGGTGATCACCATGGTGTGAGGGGACCTTTAAGAAATTAGTATAGATGTAAATATTGTCGTAACATCATATTCCTTTGTTAAAAGCCCTTTTGTGATTATTGAATCTTTTACGTAATCAAAAAAAAATTATTTCTTGAACTATCACTTCCTAAATTTGATCCAATATTCGTCGATATTTTCGGAAATAACATTCAATATATCATAGTTTAAACATTTCTGACTGCAACACCTGATATTTTTATTTATTTTGATTATTATTATTATTATTATTTCTAACTATCAGAACCTGTTAAAACTGCATCAAGTAAGAGTATGTCGTCAACTTCTCAACTCTCTATCATTTTATCATTATTATCATTTTATCATTATTATCATTTTATCATTATTATCATTTTATCATTATTATCATTTTATCATTATTATCATCATTTTATCATTATTATCATTATCATTATTATCATTTTATCATTATTATCATTTTATCATTATTATCATTTTATCATTATTATCATTTTATCATTATTATCATTTTATCTAAAGGTGCCTTCACACCCTAGCGATCACCAGTTGTCATAGTTGCAAGTAAGAGTGATCATAAGTTTGGAAAATGAGTTGCGAGTTGCGTTTGAAACTTATAACCACTCCGTCTAATGAATTAAACTTTCATTCTGTTTGTAATTTTATTAGTTTTTATTTTTAATACAGCCCCTTCAGTTAGGGTCTATCGACAGCCCTCTTGAACGTTTGTTAAATGATCGTATTGACCTAGACCTGATAAATTCACAAAATGTGAAGGGTAAAAATTTGATTGGTTATAGCAGAAGTCATCGAGTCAGGTCAAAAGATTGATTTGACAAATGTTCAAGAGGGCTGTTATAAGACCCTAACTAACGTGGCTATATTAAAAATAAAAGCTAATAAAAAAAACAGAATGAAAGTTTGGTCTAAGTTTAATTAGACTGATAATCATTTTCTTGATATCACCATGGTGATTGTTATAATGTAAGGGCCCCTTTAGATTGATGTGGTATATATATATATAACTTTTGTTCACTTTTTATTTGTTTTGTATCCGTGTCATTTCTTTTTTCTTTCCTTTATCTTTTATTTAAGATCTGATATGTTTTGTTCTAGGTTTTTTTTTTCTGTGATTTCTGTAAAGTTGTTAATTTAAACTAGTTCTGTCCAATCCTTCTTAGCTAAAAAGTAGAATATGAAAAATATATAAAAATCTCCATTATAAACAATCTGCAAAACGAACGTTGAATACAATGTTCAAAATAAGGTGTTTTGTATATTGAGGGTGGTTTTTTTTGTTAATGTTTTTTTTGTGTAGCATGTGATGTGTGACTTTTGTGTAGTTTTTTGATTTAGGACTTTTTATTTTCTGAATCAGTTTTTAGTTTAACAATTGATATTTTGTTTCTTGCTGATAGATGATGAATAATACAAGCTACTAGGGCTGGGTGATATTGGTTCAAGTTGATATCATGATATTAAACATTGATATATCGCGATATTTTTTAAGTATGAATTTTACTGGTTTTTGGAACAAAATTTTAAATGTAACATAAAACAATAAATATCTCTAAAAACACCCCAGTCTTTAACATCATGAAATAAACATCTGTTTCAAATATTAAGTTACTTGTTAAAATTATGTAGATGATCTTATCTGGACAAAAATTTAATGATACAACATGATAACTACTATATCACAATATGGCGATATTTTGGCATTGTTTAACGATCTAAATTCCTATACCGGTATTTATCGTGATACTGGTATATATCGCCCAGTCCTACAAGCTACAGTATCTCCAATAAACATACAAATTCACAAAACCTCTTCCCCTTTTAAATTCTTTAAAAAAGGAATTTATTTTTTCTTTAACAATTTTCTTATTTGCCAATTAAATTTGATTTTTTTAATTAACTAATTATAATTAATATTTGAACTAACGAATGTTTTTAACGACCAATTCCTTGTTTTTAGCTAACCATAAGAGTGCTCCCAGTGGTAAGCTTTGATTTTGATTTCAACTGTTTTTTAACCCCCTTTTCACCTCTTTGTGTGTGATAATATTTTAGCTGTTTTAACCCGTCTGTTCTCTTATTATGTGTGATATTATTTTAGCTGTTTTAACCCGCCTATTCTCTTATTATGTGTGATAATATTTTAGCTGTTTTAACCCATCTATTCTCTTATTATGTGTGATATTATTTTAGCTGTTTTAACCCGCCTATTCTCTTATTGTGTGTGATATTATTTTAGCTGTTTTAACCCGTCTATTCTCTTATTATGTGTGATATTATTTTAGCTGTTTTAACCCGCCTATTCTCTTATTATGTGTGATATTATTTTAGCTGTTTTAACCCGCCTATTCTCTTATTATGTGTGATATTATTTTAGCTGTTTTAACCTGCCTATTCTCTTATTATGTGTGATAATATTTTAGCTGTTTTAACCCGCCTATTCTCTTATTGTGTGTGATATTATTTTAGCTGTTTTAACCCGCCTATTCTCTTATTATGTGTGATATTATTTTAGCTGTTTTAACCCGTCTATTCTCTTATTATGTGTGATAATATTTTAGCTGTTTTAACCCGTCTATTCTCTTATTATGTGTGATATTATTTTAGCTGTTTTAACCCGTCTATTCTCTTATTATGTGTGATATTATTTTAGCTGTTTTAACCCGTCTATTCTCTTATTATGTGTGATATTATTTTAGCTGTTTTAACCCGTCTATTCTCTTATTATGTGTGATATTATTTTAGCTGTTTTAACCCGTCTATTCCTCTTATTATGTGTGATATTATTTTAGCTGTTTTGTGATATTATTTTAGCTGTTATAACCCCATTCTGTTTATTTTATTCTAAAAGTGTAGTGTTTTTGTTTGCATTTATTTAAAACCAAATATATGTTTTATCGAGCAAAGGATATTTCTGCACATGTGGAGATTGTTGAGCAGCTATGACGGGTGTGGCGCCAGGCAGGGTATGCTTACTCTTCTAGACACCTGATATCACTGGACATTTAATGTGTTCATTACTATTTAATCTACCTTAAAATACAGGAGATTGTTTGTTTTAAATCATACCTGAACGCAGATATATCTTTGCTCAATTAAGTATTATTAGATATTTGAGATCAGTTCCCTTTCATCAATTACTTCATGTAAATTGGCATATAAAAGGCAAATTAGGCATTAGGATTAATGATTATGCCTCACTTCTTCTGGAGTTAACACTTACAAAATCAGTGAGCTGTTTTATGCCTTAGCAAAATTTCCTTGTCTATAAAACGCCTTAGTTTGTCTATAAAACGCCTTAGTTTGTCTATAAAACGCCTTAGTTTGTCTATAAAACGCCCTAGTTTGTCTATAAAACGCCTTAGTTTGTCTATAAAACGCCCTAGTTTGTCTATAAAACGCCCTAGTTTGTCTATAAAACGCCCTAGTTTGTCTATAAAACGCCTTAGTTTGTCTATAAAACGCCTTAGTTTGTCTATAAAACGTCTTAGTCTGTCTAGAAAACGCCTTAGTTTGTCTAGAAAATGCCTTAGTTTATCTAGAAAACGCCTTAGTTTGTCTATAAAACGCCTTAGTTTGTCTAGAAAACGCCTTAGTTTGTCTAGAAAACGCCTTAGTTTGTCTAGAAAACGCCTTAGTTTGTCTAGAAAACGCCTTAATTTGTCTAGAAAACGTCGTCATTTGTCAGAAACACCTTAGTTTGTCTAGAAAACGCCTTAGTTTGTCTAGAAAACACCTTAATTTGTCTAGAAAACGCCTTAAATTGTATCCTCGAGCTATATTATTTATTTAATGCTTGGAAATTAACCTCTGTGTGATCTTTAGTTTTGTGTTTATCTTTCTTACCATAAATGGATTCTAAAATATCTGGAAGATGGGTGATTAGTGAAGAGATTCATTATAGAGCAACATATACTGTCAGCATTTCAATTGTCGATGGCATCAAATTTTTATGAATCCAGCTGCTCTTTTTCCTTCCTTCAGATCTTTTGGATCCATTTCTGGTTACGTCTGTAATCTATAGTCTGTGTCTAATTTATCTGTGGTAATAGGTTTTAAAATAATAGTGGTCTGGTCTGATTGGTCAATCTATAATATCCAATACAAAATTTTATTATCCAATCAGATTTCTATATATTTCTCAAAATTTGAATTATAAGTTTTGAAGATTTAAACCTCTGTTTGATTGTTTAAAATTTTCTTTCCTGTTGTCCATGCTCTTTAAATACTGTTTGATGAAATAGTCTTCTAGATAAAAAGAAACTATTTGTTTCATACCATCCAGAGAATAACGTCTCAAAAGTTGTGTTTGATTAACTTCAAAACTTTATATTCTCAAAGAACATTCTTACAGGTTATGAACCAATTATACTTAACTTTTTCAACCTGAATTATTCGTGTATCCATTTGGAATTGTCTGTTGGATGTGCAAGTTTATCTATGAGCTACTAAACTTCGCAATGTCAAGCTATTACAAACTGCATCCAATACCTTGACTGCATTAACCACTTTTCTTGTATGATGGGAGTGTGTAAATGCAGTGATTTGATTGGATTGTATGCTACCGAATACAGCCAATCAGAGCCTTGATATTTACAGTCTTTGTGTCAAGTACTCTGATTGGCTGTATTGGCCAGTTAACAACCCAATCAAATCACTGCATTCCATGATACAAGGAAGGTGGCTATTGCAGTCAAGGTATAAGACACAGTTTGTAATATTTGACATCGTGAAGATGACTTAATTGATAATATCTATATATCTGTATAATATACTAACAATTCTCTGTCTATTTGCTTTACAAGCTTCTAAACAAAAGGATTCTAGTGCATCCATAATTAGAGGTATCTTTTTATCTTATCTTATATTTTCAGTCCAATAAAACTTGTGTTTGCTGATTTTTTACAAAATGAATCAACTTCTTTTATACAGCTGGTAGAATTGGAGAACAGAAATAATTTATTATATCTATTTTTAAAAAAATGCTTTGAATTTCAACTATTTTTTATGTGTTTCTTAGTCTTACTGCATTACTATGGCATCCTGGCATTAAAATCTCAGGGCTACTGGACTGTTTTTTATGTAATGTTTTAAAAGTTGGAAAACTAACAGCTTGAAAGTTTTGAGATTGACTGAGTTTAAAAAAGCTGATTATTTTGTAATGAGTTTAAATTTGAAATGTTAATTTTATAGATGTGGACATTGTATTAATGAGAATGACGATAATTGGTGTGTTACTGGCTTTCCGATCCCTCGTACAAGAGGCTTTACATGATGTAAGTAGAGTCATCAGGCGACAGGGGCTGGGTATGGAAGGACAGTTTGTACAAACCTTAGAAATTAGGGACAACGGAGTATCGGGGAGCTAGATTAGAGACAGGTGGAGATGTGTATATCTGCTATAATGATAATAAACTGATTGATCCGTCTAACATTGAATGGTGAAGTAGGGTCAGCAGGTTGAAATGAGACTATTAGCTGGCTCTATGACTATATTTTGCAATGTGAAAATTGCAATTCTACTTTCAAAGCACATTGAATCAATGCTAGCACAAACCATCAAACCTGCTAACTTATAAAGGATTGAACTCTGTTCCGACCTCCTTTTATGTATTTTGTTTAAAATTTTAGGTTTTAGATGACCATGTACCATTTTTAATGAGTTCAATTCGAGATATACATCACTACGTACCAAATACTAAAGATGCTATGGTAGGATATATCTTATTTCTATTCTCGTCAATTTTTACAAAGGCTTCTTCACAATTAGCTTCTGTTTTGGTATAGATTAAATTTGCTTATACTAATAGGAGAAATCATTGCCGTGACATAGCTTTATTGGGATTTGGATCAGCTGTATGCTCAGAATAATGAAAGTTTAATCAGAATCCAAAATGTAAAATGTAATATAGAGACGTGGGACTCAGTGCCCTCTTTGAGTGAGTTTGTTCTAACCTCAAGACCTCCTGAGATCAGTGCATGATAGAATTTAAAACAGGTATCATTTGATGTGATTACCTCCAATAAAGGTTTGAAAGAATAATTACAAATAAGCACAAATGAAACTGGACAGCCAAATATTAAAAAACTTTTGGTGTTTGTCTAAATGAGAGCTGCTTGTGAGATGTTGTCCAGGTGATCTGTGAAAATACAGCACAAATTTAAGATGTTGTCAGAAGTGAGTTAACATAAGTAGGATAAATTTGCATACATCGTCAGCCATCATAGTGTTATGCTATCAGCTCCCAAGTTTCCATCATATTAATCTGTGTATGTTTTTATTCTAAAATTAGCCAGCTTCACTAAAACAACAGGTTTGATTCATATTGTTGTTTGTCCTTGTTTGATTTAAGTTATGTCATGTTTGTCTTCCATTTTTATTTCAGTTTCAGTTTTTATGTCATGTTTGTCGTTCATTTTCAATTTAGAGAATTTTATTTTCAGTTTTGTCATATTTATCCTCCATTTTATTCTTACTTTATTTTCATTTCATTTTCATTTTGTAGTCATTTTCATTTTGTAGTCATTTGTAGTTCATTTTGTGTTCATTTTATTTTCATTACATCCATTGTGTGTCCTTCATTTTGTTTTCAATCCCATGTCGTTCATTTTCATGTATTTTTTATTCAGCCTTGACCTTGTTAAAATATTGCATGGTCTTATTAATATAATTTTAAAATTTTTAATTTACTTCAATCAGGATATTTTCCTAATTGGTCTAATTTGATGTGCTCTTGTTTTTGATGCCTTAATTTGAACGTTAAGTCCACAACTTGGGATTTTGGTTTTGAAAGACTGAAACCAATATATAAAAGACGCTACTGTTTTCTATGCAGTGATATTAATATGCTTAACTTATTGTTTTTGATTGGCCGAATGAAAACCTTGATATTTGTGCCTCTTTCTGTATCACATTGTAGTGTCCAATCATAACTGTCCTTTCCTGTTGACCAATCATTTTTCAACTTATATTTGCATTGATTATCCAGTCATTTTTTCTGTCCAATCATATAGAATTGTGTCAGATTATCCAGTATTACTGTATATTACAGGTAGTCAATGAATTGGCATCCTCCGCTGGGTTAGCCTGTGATATTGACCCTACTTTGTGTAATGCACTACGAACCCTGAAAAGTGGTAAGTCAGAAATGTCCATCTTCTTCGATCGATTTCAACTTTTAAAGGGATGAATTTTAATATTCAATTTGAATTGAACCAGAAGACTATTAGCCATTTTGAAGACTGAATTAATTTAGATTGTAAAGGGATGTAATCATCTAAATTTTCATCTTCAAATATAACTTAAGTCACATTTAAGGGTAGACATCACATTAAATAACAGAACACAGGAGTAGTGTACTTCAAAATTGTGTTCTGTGATTTATTCATCTTAAAATGAACTGTTGTTTTTCCATCTTTTAAACCTCATTAGATATAAATTAAAAACTCTGAAATGATAAAGTCATCTTACTTTAAGAGAGATTTTATAACATTTCATTGCTACCAGCTTAAATAAGTTTGACTTGATTTATGAGAACTATTTTAATTTTAGAACATGCAGAAGATGAATATAACTTGGCGTGTTTATTGATGGTGTTTGTTGCCGTGTCGATGCCGAAATTAGCCAGAATGGATTCCACTGTATTTAAAGCTTCATTAGAAGGTATGCTCTCAGTCCAGGCCCCTCCCCTTCAATAAATCTTACCAGCAGAATGAAGTATTTATCTATAATGTAATGTTTAGTGGCAGTAGAACGAGTGGTTTGGTTATGAAATGTTGTAGATATGTTCCAGTATCTGTTTACAACCTCCAACCAATTTTCATGTTATTATCTGAACAATTTGATATTAAATGCCTTCAATTTCAAACATGAGGTTCTCATACAGAAGAATTAGCACCCAGAAATGTCCTTTGCTATTTAGCCTTCGATTCCAAACAAAAGTTTCTCTTGCTAAGGAAGAATTGTGACCATATTACCAACGTAAAAAGAAAGGAAATATTCTGATGCCTGTGCCAGCACTTCCGAGAGTCGGTCCAGTGTTGGCTCTCACCCCCTAATACCATTGTTGTTTACTATATTTCAGGTCATAAAAATAACAGTCACTGTCTAGCTAAAGCTGTCAATGCCCTAGCAGGGGCTATGTTTACTATTTATGGATCTGGTGATGTAGAAGACAGACTGAAAGAATTTTTAGCTGTAAGATTATATTTCTTTGTTTTTTGACACTTTACTTATTGTTATTTTAATACATACATTTAAAGTATGTTATGGTTGAAATTTGTACGTCTGCTTCTTTTAACTGAGTTTGAATTCGACACATTTTCAGTAAGGAAATCAAATTGGATCGGATTCTTTTTGTCAAATGAGTATCATCTCCATAGTTACAACTTGTTGTTTTTAACCCTTTGAACCCTGAGTGTAAATGAAATACAACGTCATATACCCTGAACTCCAAGTAATAAAAGTAAAAGCGTATGACGTTAATGTTGTATGACGTCACTTAGCAACGGCCGGTATACCGGCTGGTCGGGTATATATTGCGTGAGTGTTTGGCTGGTACACCGGCCGCTAGGGTTGAAAGGGTTAAGAATCTGGAGCCATAGAACTCAAACTTTGGCATTATCGTCTTTGTATTTAATCTGATTAATAAACCTGGTTTTTCAGCTGGCATCATCCAGTTTATTACGTCTGGGACAAGAACATGATAAAGATACGATTAAAAATCGTGAATCTGTGTATTTATTGTTAGATCAGGTAGGTTTTCATGTTATGGATGAAATTATGGAACCTTATTTTCGAATTTTACTCCCTAGCATCCTCACAAGGGGTTGTAAAGAGATTTTGTAACATTTTCATGTGTATCAAGGCCATCATTCCAATTTTCAGTCAGACGTCTGTGTTTCCTGTAATTATAGAAAATGTTTTACCGTATACAACTTTAATATGACATAATTTAGTGTGTTAGATACTTGCTAACTGAAGGGTCCAGGGTTCAACCCCATAGGTCAAGATTATTTTTTCAACCTAACATAAGTAGTTTCCTTTCAATTTTAAAATTTATATTTTCAGATTGTACAAGAATCTCCGTTTTTAACGATGGATCTGTTAGAATCGTGTTTCCCGTACGCGTTATTACGTAATGCCTATCACAGTGTTTATAAAGCATCTGCAGCTGAATCCAGCAAAACTCTAGCGTGAAGTTAGAAACATATTGTTCATCCTTGAAACGGATCCAGCAAAACTTTAGCTTGAAGTTAAAATCATATTTCTCCATGAAACGAAATTAGCAAAACCTAAACTTGAAGTTATATATTGTTTGAAAAGCATTCATGAAATGAAAACTAGAAATATTTTGCCTTTATATAAACATTTTGTTATTTGTTACTATACATTGGTCTTAAAGTTGTCTATTGTTTTGTTATCATTTAAACCCACAACCAGTTGATTTTCTTTCTAAGGATTTGCAAAAACCAATATGCCCCTGGTGTTTACGAAAACAAAACCATGTTTAAACTTTTTTGTACTTTAAGTTTCTTTTATGTTTTTTGGGGGACCATATTTTTGTTCATCAATTTTGTAAAAACTTGGTGGAATTTTCATTTCTTCTTCTCTTAATTTCTCTTTCCTACATAATGTATCTTTTATAAATCTATCTTATTTGGCTTGGATATTTTCCCTCTTTTAGAATTTTTGCATTTAAATTATATAAATCAAAATATCAAGTTTTTGCTGAAAAAATATAATGAAATCGAAGTTGAAATGATTTTGCCGAAAATTACGCAAGAAAATTTGTACATTTGTTTATATCTATTTAGTGCAATCTTATTGATATTGTTAGTTTTTGTATTTTGTAAATTGTTTTTCTGTATATATTCCATGTAATATGTGCTGATATCACTTTATCTTGAACAAGGGCAGTAATTCAAAAACTATTGATTGCAAAATTGTGAAAGTCAAACTCGTCTGAGATCTGCCAATATAATTTATAGCATTCCTAGGTAGTTAGTGGCGTTTCTTCAGGGGTCAAGGTGGTGGCCATGGCTTCCCAGAGAAGTTGCTGGCCTGACTTTTGCAGTTTCAAATTTCTTATCATTGAGTTCTTCATTGCCTGGAGCTGTTGCCCCGTTAACGAATCTGTGGCCCCTTCTCGGTCCCTCAACCTAATGATACCTAGTTTCATTCAAATCTTGCCATTCCTCTTATATTTATTGTAGAATTGGGCCATATAATTTTTGTTAGATATCCCTTGTGTAGATCGTCTATCAGTTTATACATGTTTTATATTGATTAGCATAAATCAATGGTTATAAATAAATCTTTCACTTTGGATTACAGCTTTCGATACATGCATGATAGCTTTATAAAATTATGACATGGAAATGAAAAACAACAGAATGAGTTTCAATGAATTTTGATAAATATTTGTTTATATTTTGTACACCCCCCCCCCCCTCACATATTTATTTCATATAAAACCATGTCTTATTTCATTATAGAACTTTTCATTATTAAATTTATATTAAGCTTATATTCTGTATTTTTAAAAGCTATATTCTAGGCATTCAAATGATAGAGCTGAAAGACATGTCACACTCTAGGTCACTCTATCACATGTTGAATTAATGTCGATTTTCTTGACTTATAATCAAAGCACATTGCCAACCTTTGATGCAAAGGGGGTCTCTTCAGCCATCATCTGCCAAGCAACCAGTGTTGATAGTGAGCACTCAGTATGTAAACCCAGAATCATATTAGTTTTACGTCCTACTGTTTTGCACTATGTGGGCTAATGAAGACCGGCAACACCATGCAGGGTGCAATGAGGCAATATCAAGACAGCTTACCTGCATCACTGACAGGGGAAAAAATCTGAAGGTATCATCTCGACCTATGCCAGGATTGAACCCTGGACCTTAAGATTAGCGAGCAAGCGTCTAACTCACTGAGCCACCTCGGCTCCCTGGCCCAGAAATGAAGACGGGCAATGCCACGCAGTGTGTCATCAGGGGAAAATTTTTGATTTTTTGTAGCATGAATATGAAATGATTGGAAGCATACTTGTCATTTCGATTGTCCGAATACTGTAAAACTGAAGACAATTTTTAAATATTATTTTATTACAAAAAAGAAATTTATAAAATATAATAAGGGGCTTCTTGCCAGTAACATTGGTAACTTTCAGATAATTCAAAACAAATTGTATCCATAGGCTACAATACTAACAACTCTGATTGGTTGATGCTGTTGCAGCAAAAACCAATCAGAGTTGTTAGTTTGTTGACAACAAGCTCAAACTCTGATTGGTTAATGCTGTTGCAGCAAACACCAATCAGAGTTCTTAGTTTGTTGATGACAAGCTCAAACTCTGATTGGTTAATGCTGTTGTAGTAAAAATGTTATCCAATCAGATAAGTAGAAGTTATAATAGATATAAAATCCTTAGTTACAAATTTACTGACAATAAAGCCGAGGAATGGATAATATTAACAAGAAAATGGAATGATATAATGACAAATAATGAATCAGGGACGTTGATTTCTCATTTTAACCAGTCATGTCTGATTGTTTCCTTATAACTAGACAGTCATATTAATGCACCAATCTTGGTTTTAGCATGAGCCCAAGGCCACGTTCCTGAAAATATCTTACAATAGAAATTTGTCGTAAGTGTGAAATTTGTGAACGAGTCTAGAACCTGATAACTAATACTTGGCCACTGATAGTTATTTTGAGCCAGTTGAACCCAAATGAATGCCAAAAACTTCATTAAAACAGCTTTTTAGCAACCTTTACACTATCTGGTATTTCAGAAAGAAATATGAATATTTTTAAAATAACCAGTCAGCAGCGAAATAGAAGTCAACAAGTTTTGGACTATTTTGATTAGAATTAATAATATATATTTCATAATTATGGTCTATATACATGGCAATTTGTACAAAAAAAATTCCACCTAGGAATAAAATAGTAAAAAATTGCTAAAATTTTGTGCAATATAAAGGAATGTACAAATTGGAAGTTGCAAAAAGTAAGTAATTTTTTGTTGAGTAATGAACAATAATATAATATTTTCACTGTTAAAATAGTGCTCAATCATAGAGTTATAAATAGATTTCTTATTATATAACTATGTTCTCAATACCACACCTGCAATTTTGCGATATTTTACAACAAACAAATAGCAATTTGCATACCAAGAGCTTCAATTGAGCAAATAATGAAAATAAATTCTGAACATTTTCTACAGAATATGAAATTTGGAAATCACACAAAATATACAATTTTTTTCAATGTTACATTAAAGATTATGACGTGATAAAGTTTTGCACCAATTCAGATCTTTTAATCAATTTATAAATCCAAACATTACACCGAATCAGCACTTCTACATGTTCATTATGATTTAATTTTCAAATTAGATGATAAATATTATGTTTTTCTAATATTATAGGACCAGAATGCCGTATTCAACAATAGACCAGGATATATTATTAAAAAGATTTAACGATCACTAGAAGCACCTTCTCAATCTCTCTTCAGTCTGTCTGAATTGATTCCAACATGTTATTGTTAAGAGTAATCGTAAATGAAAATAAGCCATCTTTAAGTTGTTAGCAAGGCTGGAAATAGTCTATTGTATTCGAACTCCCTTGATCCTTTAATGGACTCTTTCACACATGCATTTATATAATACTTCAATAGTGTCTGAAAGAGTCCATTTATATACATAGGAGTGTTTTGTTATAGCTTTTCTACTTTTTCAAATATGATGTATAAGTCTATGATAGTTTATGATTAAAAGACACCATTTTTGCTGGATGCCGTGAGCTCCAGAATAGTCCGTGATTAAAAGTCAGTTTAAGACACGATTTTAACGTAAAACAAGCGTTGATTAATAACTGTGACCCCCTCGTACTCCAAGTGGACTCAACGCAAAACCAATGGCTATATATAGAATTACCGACACTACTATGGTGATCATGCACATTAAAAACGCATGGTTACTCCATTTGTATGCGTATTTCAAATCTCCTTGACGATATGACCTTCTGGACATATCTGAAATGAGACAATTCAAAGAACATAAACTCACGATAATATACCCACGCAGTAATGTTATACCCACGCAGTATTGTTATACCCATGCAGTAATGTTATACCCACGCAGTATTGTTATACCCATGCAGTAATGTTATACCCACGCAGTAATGTTATACCCACGCAGTAATGTTATACCCATGCAGTAATGTTATACCCACGCAGTAATGTTATACCCACGCAGTAATGTTATACCCACGCAGTAATGTTATACCCACGCAGTAATGTTATACCCACGCAGTATTGTAATACCCACGCAGTAATGTTATACCCACGCAGTATTGTAATACCCACGCAGTAATGTTATACCCACGCAGTAATGTTATACCCACGCAGTATTGTAATACCCACGCAGTAATGTTATACCCACGCAGTAATGTTATACCCACGCAGTATTGTAATACCCACGCAGTAATGTTATACCCACGCAGTATTGTCATCCAAGTTTGATATAAAAAAAAGGTAAAATGTTGCAATTGTATAACAAAAACACAAGACAATATTATGGAATATAACACACTTCTTTAATTCCATAATATTGTCTTGTGTTTTTGTTATATGTGCTCCTCGCTTCTATATGTCGTTCAAATCTTATGTTACAATTGTAATCCAAAATCTGTATTTTCTCATCCTTGATCATATTAAGATATAAAAACGAAAGAAAGAAATAAAAGTGTCAGTGTAATGAAAAGAACAAGAAAAAGGAATGTAAGGAAATCTTATTAATGGTATACTTACATGCAAATAAAAGGGCAACTGAACCGAGGATTGGGTTAAGAATAGTAACAAAAATAGCCAAGGGAAGATAACTGTGAGGCTGCAGACCAATAAAATGACCCTCAACGATAGCTGGATGTTTAAAAACAGGATCTCTGGTGACTAAAATCTGTTTGGACGGGGTTCGATAGATATCGCCTTCCATTGGAGTCGTCATACTGAAATGATAAAACACATTTTTTTCAATGTCATGAAAATTTGAATTTATTATAATATATAATTATACTGGCAGCTGTCAGAAATGATTGAACACGAGTTGCAAAATAAAGCTAATAGAGAAAAACGTCAAGTCAGACACGATATTTCGGTGAAAAATTATCCGATCATCACGAAAATCAATAGGGATCATCTTCCTATGACATTGACAAACAAAATCAAAATCAAAAGAATCTGTAAAGAATTGTAGTCTGTAGAGTGAATACGAACCAAATGTGAATGGACGGACCAACAGGGCGATTACAACATACGCCCATCTTATGTGTGGGCGTATAAAAAAACTAGTTTTTTTGTTTCAAAAGCATTGAGATTGTTAGTAAACAGACAAAGGATAAAAAATAATCCTCACAAAAAGACCAAGGGATAAATTACACATAATTAAACATATTTTAATCCCCACTTATAGAATTAACAATGAAACTTAAAACCAGCCTGAAGCTATATAATTGCAGAATTTAGTCCCCCATCGGCCTACCTATCATCCAAATGAATCTTCCAAAATAATCTTCCAATCTTTTGAGGGATTTAAATTTGTATCAATCTACACAAACGAACTGTATTTACTAATTTTACCAAAACTGGACTATACCCCTGGTTCCCAACTAGTATGTCAAGGATGTGGCCAACTGGTGTAGGAGAAGAATTTATTTTGAATTGAGAGAGCATCTCACATCAACACATGCTGAAAATGTCGATGAAACAATTTTTTGGTGTGTGTAAGGTCCAGGTGATTGCTCCAGAGGTGTGAAGGCTGAAAAAGGTTGGGAACCACATTGGACTATACAACATCAATTATTACACAGGTATAAAGTTAGTAATTAGATGAGACAATGCTCATATTCCATATTGATTAAGATAGACATCCTTCGTAGATTAAGGTCCTAACCCACTTGCTTACATCAATTCAGCCTCACACCCCACAACAACTGTAACCTTGGGCCTATAAACAATCAATAATCATACATAACATACTGCTTGATAATTAATAAAACCAACGCCTTGTTTTAATGATTATCTCAGATATATTAATTACTCATTACTTCAATGATCTGGATTCTGGATAGCTCCAAAGACTTTTAACGTAAAATTTCAACTCCAAGAAACAAACACTCCACTCTCTCTCCCCATCAAACGTAATTAATAATCATCTATACTGACATCCTAACTCCAGCAAACATACCCTATACTCTACTTCCATCAAACACCATTCAATCAACTATACCAACATGCAACCTTACTTCCATCAAACATCATTCAATCAAATATATGACATTTTGAAGTAGATAGAACATTAAATAAATAAAACCTTTTACTTTGCTCAGACAATATACCAAGATGAAAATTAATAATTCATAGGAAACCCTGAAGCCATTTGAATATATATTATCATACCATTAGCATAATATCTACAGTGAAAATCAATTCCCCCTGCCCCACCCTTAATATATTTCTACCAAAATAAAACAATCTAGAAGGTGGCAAAAATCTAAGTTCATAATATGTTTATAGCTCCTAATATAATTAATAATAGAGTGCCCCCAGACATAATACAGTTTATCATAATGTTTAACACCATAATCAGATATAGGTGAAAATTGGTCATAAACCGTCCTTACCTGTCGTAATAATCAATTCTAAATCTTCCTTAAATCTTGATCAAATTTATAAAAGTCTCGAAATCAACGAAATTACGTAAAAACCTTTAAATTTTCTCAACTGATCGGGTCACCAAAAGATCAACATTCTTATAAAATGACAAACAATGAAAATAGGTCAAGTATAGGTAAAAAAGATCAAACAAACTCCGAATCTCACCTGTAAAACTAAAAATAGATTTTTACCTGAACGATTTGTGTTGATTTCGGTTATTTACAGTTAAAAACAAATTAAAAACCAGAATTGTGTAAAAGTTTGAACGTGTATCTCTGAAGGCTTGAATTGTTTTAACACCTTAAAAACTAATCAAGGTAAATAGTCAATACGCATGCGTGATGACTCAGGTAGACTTCCGGTATCAATTCAAGTTTAGTGACAGTCAAACCTACTAGACTGGACACCTTGACTTAACTTGTTCAGCAGACCATGGACAAAAAGGAATGGGCAAATACATGGAAAATAGTAATGTGTTAGATTTTCAATTCGGATCGCCTTACGCCTACGCAGTTTACTTACCCAAGTTTAATGAGAAATGCAAAAATGTTGCAATTGTAATCCAAAATACGTATTTTCGTATCCTTGATCAAATCAAGGACATTAAAATGACGAAAGAAATAAAAGTGTCAGTTCATCCCAGACTGAAAATTAATTAACCCGGATTATAAGACTAAGCCCATATAGGTCAATGTTGCAATAATTAAATTTTGCGAGAGGTAGCCTATAACTTTGATTTCAGTGGGTGTTTTCTTATGCCCGGTCTCAGACCCCTTTGATAATGGACACACCACAATATTTTACCATTTCGAGGGCTCTGATTGGTTGTATTCGCTGGCGTACAGCAGTTTCCTTTGATACAAGAATAGTGGCTATTGTAGTCAAGGTATAAGACTATGTTCGAAATAGCATGACATTGTTAAGATGCCCCTGTGTAGAGTTTCAAGTTTCAAATACGTGCATCAAGGTTACCAGACTCTCTGTACAAAACTAGGGTACAATTGTCGAACCTGTGGGTATGATTATCAACATAAAGGTATCAATAGGAGAGTAAACCAAAATGTTTGAAGAGAAAAGGTTGTTCACACCTGTGTAGGGTTCCAAACATTATGGCTGTGGTTCGATACAGCAGCTCGTCAAAACTCGAACTCTTCACTGAGCAGATTCGATTAAACATTGTTACTACAGAGATAAGATTCTGGGGCAATGTTTCCAAAACTTTTCAAATTCAACAATTCAAAAGATTACAGAATAGTTTTGCCACCGGAACTTGTTGGAGAATCTAGTTAATTACTTGAAACACAGTGTTAATTCCAGATTCCAAAGCGCTGCAGGATGAATTCCAGAAGAGATCACAGAACGTCTCCAAGATTTTTTGGACTGGCTCTTGACCTGGCAGCAAAAGCTAGAATAAAGCTTGATTTCTGGAGCTCTAGTTACAATAATCTGGTGTTGCTGGAAACACTATCTATTCCAAAGAAACGATTCCAAAGATTCCACAATCTTAGAAAACTCTGCAACACAATTAGAATTCCAAGGAGTTACAGAACGATTCGCAATAAGAAATTGGATACCAGTCGACGTCTGAACACAGTTAGATATATAGGAGACTGGATCCTGATACAACGTAGATCTTTAATTGAACACAATTTTCAGAACAGAATTTGACCAACAGATGATCGTTCAGCACTGTTCCTCAACGAAACAAAACTTAGACAGAAGTCCTATGTGGAGCTCAAGGCAAACAAACGTGAAATGACAATTTGGGACCAGGTCATTTTCTTTTTAAATGGCGAGTCTTTGGAATTAAAGTATGAGTCTTCAGATTGAAATCATAATTTTTGAGAAAAAAAGACAAGAATGGGGTGATATGACAACTTCTGAGATCACCGGTGAAAAGATCCGGAAAAAATGGACAAAATGAAAAGAATTGAAGAATGACATCACTTCCAAACAAACCAGAAATAAAAAGTATTGTTATTAAAACAGAAAGGTCAAGTCATTGGCCATTGTTTTTAGATTTGTTTATTTGTAAACATTGTTGACTAAATAACTTGTTTAAAGAGACTTTCTCTCAAAATGTTCATAACAAGAAGAGGTTGCCCTCTAACATTGTATAACATTGCCGGAAAAAGGCTAGGGTAATGATGCCTTCTTGAAGTTTCGGGAAAAGGGGAGGGGGGGTGGGGAATCACCTTCCATGCGCTTTCGCATTTGATGAAATCTCTATCTCCTCAGTTGCCCCACATCAAAGTCTCCCTTTAACATTTTGTACCTAAAGTTTCAGTAAATTAGCGAAAATTGGCAGCCCCATAGCTTTCTTGAACACCATTTTTGACATATTTCCAAAACCAACTATTTAGCCATGCAACAGATTTCTATGTGGACAGAATGTCCAATGATGTACACCTCTTTGCTTCAATCATTTCTCGGACAGTTTTCTGTCTTCAGGTTTCAGAATGCTACTTGGACAAGACCAATTCGCTTGACGTTGTTCTGCAGGTTGTGATCGGCGTGGTGGGAGGTTATGTCAGAATGTCAAAGCCTATATGAACCTCTCTGCTCCTGGTATATCACATTCAATTTATGTACACCATGATAATCTTTAAATCGTTTATGAGTCATGAAGTAAAAGTATTTTATCAGTTAAAATAGTTCGGTTACAATGATCCAATTTGAACAGATATCATAGGAATATCATGTCCAACTTGCAAGCCGATTGTAACACAATATCAGTGAGCAACCATTGATCTCTGGTTTAGGAATAGTCCTATATTAATACTGATCTTATGCTTTATGAACAAACGGTAATATCTGCAAATTACTTGTTCAATGTATGATACAGTGGCGCTACTATGAAAAAATTGGTGAAGGGGCGAGCAACATTTTCCAGGGGGTACAGACAACTTTTTCACTATGTAAAATGATATTCTGATTATCAGGGGGGATGGGGGCAGTGTGGTATGATATGATTGTAAAGTGTCCAATGTCTTTATAAATAATATATCTTAAGGTATCTTGTCTTATTCTTGTTAAAAATTCAACCCATAAATAATCATGTCAAAGTCTTGATAAGTGATAAATTAGAATACTATCGTTTCCTGGGTTGATATATAATAGCGATACAGTAATTTTTAATGATTATGATAAAGGCAAAGACGATTATTTTGTTACATGTTGATTGTTGAAAAATAGTTTTTAAATACAGGGAAACATTTATTCTTTAAAGTTTCTAGAATTCTTATTTCTGTAGTCCCTATATCATTTCAAACGGTACTATTCGATGGAAAGACACGGGATATGTTTGGCTACAACGGCAGAATATGCGTGGTCTTTCTCGCAAAAATAGGTCCCTTGTAGATTGATTGACTTTAAACCTTCTCCTCTTGAAAATAGATGATGAAAAACAATTCAATGACTTTAGTGACACTAAAAATAGCAAAAATAGCTATAGAATAGCGGTGTACAACAAGGTTACTCATTTAGACCCTCTCTCTTCTATTGTTGTACTAATGACTTAACGATTCTTAGTCATAGGGTATTCTTCTTTACATCCCACAGAGTTGTTATTTATTCTTTTCATATTAAATCAACACTCATTTTCCTTTTTTTTGAGGCTCATGTTTGTTATAATATTTTCGCCTGAATACCTTCAGATAACAGTTTTAAATTACCTGACAAGCCCCTAAAAATATGAAACCGTTCGCTCAATTTAAAACAAAAATTGTCATATTTACCTTTCGTCGTGTTGAAAAGTATAATCCACGCTAGATTGAGTTGATTTGCAATGTTTTCCTGGCGAATAAAATGATTTTTTACTGATTTTCTTACTGGACATATTTCTCGGCCAAATTGTAGGCCAAAAGTTTTACATGTCCGGTAAAGTTCACTGGTGGTAAAAGTTTTGAGTTCCTTCCTCGCTTTATCGATCTGTCTTCAAATCAGTACAATAATGGTGTCCTCTTCAAGTTCGATAATAGTACACCTGTATAAGATATGACTAACGTGGGTAAAGAGATTTGAATATGCAGGTCCTAAATCTTGAATTAATCTATCTAACCGCTACAATAAATAGGTCATACTTCCTATACAGGTAAATTGCATTAGGGGTATGTTTGATTGGTATAAATCCCAATCCGGATTAAACCGAAAGTAGATTATACAATCGTTGATTGGATTCTTTTTATATTTGGCCAATAGTATCAGTATTTAATTGTCGGCTAAGGTGGTTGCCCGAATTCATGTATATGAGATCCTGGGGCATTTACTGTCTCGAGAGATATTCGCCCCCACTTAGCGCGTGTTAATTAGGCCCGGGGTCGATCTATTTGACGTTAATTAGATAATACAGTTCATTTGTCAATATTGTCCCGGCAAAATATAATAACTCGGGCTTAATTTGATTAACCCCTGGGAAACTAGGACGTAAAACTCTACTTCATTTCATTAACCCCCTCAGGCCAGTGGTAAAATTTGTTAAAAAAAAGTATGTTTTCCATAATGATGGGTGAGGAATTTATTTGAAACACGTATCAGCAGTATGATATTTTTGTCAATAAATTATGTTACTATAATTTATAAGCTTAGAACTCATTTTTTTTTCAAGAGCGCAAGTTCATGCCTGCTTTACGGGCCTTTAGACACTCAGTATATAGTTATTTTTAGTAACATTAAGAACCATGACGTAGTCAAAGGGGTTTCCCCAAGAATGCAACATGGTAACCATATCACGTGATATGTATAAGGGAATTCCGAGGTAAACAAAAGGGAGGAACGCTTGCAATGAACATGTGTCCATAGAAATATATTTTGGAGAGATCTATGCTTATGTTTATGAACGCAATTCGTTAGCAAAACTGTCAAAAGTATTCGTAGACGAAACAACCCTTAAAACTCTAATGTGGAACGGAGCCATACCCATAGTCGTGGCAGGATAACAAACCATCAAACATAAAATAATGGAGCTTCATCCAATTTTAGAACTCGACACAAAACCAAACGACAATTTGTGGTACGTTGTGTCAGCTTTAGGGGACTCTCCCTCCATGAGAGTTGGTCACACATGTACTTTTGTAAAAAATATAAGCGGGGGACAAGGTAGAGTGTATGTGATAGGGGGTGCTAATCCCAGTGGATCGTTTGGTGAAGTGTACATACTGGACTTGGAAACGTTAACTTGGGACACATTGGATACTCCAGGATTTAAGGCACGATACGAACATGTTGCTTTCATTCCTAAAAGTTATCCAGATAAAATTTATATTTTCGGAGGTGCTGATCAAACTGGAAACCTGAATGACGTTCAAATCTTGGATCTTGTTTCTAACGATTGGTCGACTATGACAGTTCAAGGAACTCCGCCATCACCAAGAACCCATCATACAACGGCAGTCGTTGGTAATAAGCTTGTAGTGTACAGCGGGGGCCATTCTGGTGCAGAACCAGTCGGTGACCGAAAGGTCCACATCCTAGATGTCACTACCTGTACATGGTCTGCTCCATCATTTAACGGGGAACCACCTAAACCACGACATGGTCATCTCATGCTGGCTGTCGGCAAAAAAGTCTACGTTCATGGAGGAATGGCGTCTTCAACATTTTATGATGATCTTCATGTTTTGGATTTTGAAAAAGGAGCCTGGTCAAGCATCAAGAAGAAAAAGACCAGTCCGTCTGCCCGAGCAGCACATGGTGGAGTTGTGAGCGGAACTGATATTTATACTTTCGGAGGAATGAACAAGGATGGCGCTTTAGACGAGCTTTATAAACTGGACACAATAACAAACACTTGGTGTCAATTAAAATTAGATGGTCCCCCTCCAGCTTCGAGACTAGATTTTGGAATTTGTGTTATTGAGATAGAGAGAGACCTTGCAGACGTTGAAAATACTGCCATTACTTCAGAAGGTGAAAATACAAAAGAATCAGTGGAAAAAGTACAGCCCCCTAATGGTAGTGGAGATGTTCAAGAAACTACAGATAAGAACTCAGCATCAGAAGTCACAAATCTACCAGACGCCTTGGAATCCTGCCAAATTCAAGAACCACAACTCTGTTTGAATCAAGCCGACTTGACCAAAATAGCTGAAAATGGACCTCAACCTGAAATGAAGACTTACAAATTATGTTTTATCAATGGTGGAATGGACACACAGGGAGAAATTTTTGACGATTCGTTAGGTTTCTGTTTGCCAATATCATAACAAATGATACATTTGGTAAACACTCTTGGTGATTTCCTCACCTAAAAGTAGTAAAAAAGTAGGATGTGAAACTTCATTTCATTATATTTTCCCCTGTTCATTCATCTACATTTTTAAGACTCATCACATTTTGTGGACACTGTCTTGTTATGTTTATGTATGTTGGTTATATTTTGATATATATTAAATATTTTAGGCAAATGATTGTTTTAGTTTTTGAGTTACGGACATTGGTTTGGCTGAAATATGTCAAAATTGGCTTGTGAACTCAATAGAGTTAAACTTAATTCTGATACTATTGGTAGAAAGTTGATCCACTGTGTACAGTAATAAGATTTTACATGAATTGGCTAACCTCATTCCACACTGCATGACATTGCCCATCTTCATTATTTCTTCCAATTAGATCCGAACCGTTACAAGTCACATTAGGTTTGTCAAGGCGAAAGAGATGGTTAAATTAAAAATTAATTTACTCCAAATAATGAAACCTTAAAAATAATAAATGAATAAAGGAATAAACCTAAGCAATTTTTTATAGACCCCTTTCAAATTCAAGAGGAATGAATATATTATAAAACACTCCCACCCCCCTTTTCTCATGCAACATGCTATGTTTAACTTGGATAGCTGATTTTGACTCTAAAGCAGAGAGCAACCATTGATCTGAAATGTAGTTATATGCCACCAATTGTTGGCTGGGTAACAGCTGACAAGTTAATTGCTAGTACTTAGGCTGGTTAGTAGTATTCCAGCTGAAAATAACTAAGATGGTGCTACAACTGTTCTTGGCACAATGGCAATTTTCTTTGGTCACATTGCAGACAGGCTTCTGTTTCTTTTGAATATTATTGTAATTAGAGATGGGTTTCCTTGTGTTTTAGTATCAAGTAAACTATTTGATTAATTGGTGTTTCTCATGAATTATCATGTATTCTTAATCATATCATTATGCATATCATTAAAAAAGATAAACAAAAAAAGACTTTTTGACCTTTCTTGATCGGTCACTCATAGGAATCCTGCTAATTCTCTTCTAATTTAGCTAATTATGAATTAATTATGGACATGTTAGACAAACTGGTATTTTTCCAAGTCATTAGAGCACCTCTACTTCCTATTGATGTAAATATAAGCTTTTTCCTTTACATAAATGAAAATAAGGGAACCCATCTTTAAAATATGCAACCTTATGCAGTTTCTAGTCACTTTCTCAATTCCTGACGGCCACACTAATTTTTGAGGACGAACTGCCAAGTACTATGGTCGATTTGACGTGGAAGTGGGCAATGTGACATCGTGTCAAATTGACTTAAGAATTCAAGATGGCTGACGTTGATCCAAACTGTAATCCTATTCAACCGCTTTTACCGAAGGTGAGACTGCAAATAACTTTTGCTTTTCCTTAAAATCTTAATTATACAAGCATTGATTCGCGTAGAAGCCGACCATCTTTCTCGCATTTGATGAAGTTTGTGCGTTCACGATATTTCGGCGTTTTAATTTTGGTGTCTTGGATTTCCCAACTTATCCTGTCAAAGTTATTTTCGTCGGCTTCTTGGTTCTCAAGAAATTGATAAGATGCGATTTTAGGGAGGGTGGAATTCAAAACTATTAGGTGATGTAATTCTGTTTAGTGGAAGCAAAATCAAAAAATCTTTTAACAGTTCATTAGATTTGAAAAGATCTGATTAGATTAGCTTGTTCAGGTCCAGATTTCGCAATCTGAATGTTCAGACATGTCTGAAGTGAAACCAGATTAGGAAATACATTTCTTCATAGATTTATCAATGATCACTAAATACTTATACTATTTGTCTTGTTGTAATGAAATAGAGTTAGATCAACTAAGCTTATATATATATTTTAAAAATAAAAAATTGTTTTGATAATCCTTATTGTCCATTTTGATTCGGAGATTTATCTATTGAAGACTGAATGATATGTATGTAAAATTTATTGCATACCCTTACTGATAATCCAAGCTCCATGGCAAAAGTGTCGGTGCCTTGTTTCACATGCAAGTGTAGAAACCTTGTGGTAATGTGTATAAAACATGTTACAAAATGCTATGTACAATAAACTGTAGAACTCCATGAAATGTAAATATTTCAGATTGGAAAGGAAACAGCTTCCAAATCTGATTTAGAGAAATCCCCACCCACCCCTCCTCAGGCAGCCCAGGAAGATTTCAGACATTTTGATATAGTACGAGCAGTCCAGTATGGGGTGTTTGATCGTGTTTGTGAACTGGTGGAGGCGGGGTTTGATGTCAATCAAATGGACAAGGAAAATGTCAGTTTACTTCACTGGGCAGCCATTAACAACAGAGCAGATTTGGTCAAGTAAGTTTTGACAATTCTTGAGTCTTTGTTTTTGAATTCAGGATTTTTATGTGGAGAATCTGATTCTGAGGAATAATAGTGATAGAGAATTAAAATTCAAAATCGGGGAATTTTAAGCTTCAAATCGAATCTCTTTTGTTGTCTAAAGACTCTGAAAGTAACATTCTGGGGTTTGAAACTGCCTTACGGCATTTTTTCACTGTTTTCATCAACTTTTTATTGCTTTTAATGAATTACAGGTTTATGTATTTCAACTTCTCATCTTGACACCCATCACCATTTACTTGTTATTTATATTTGTTGGTAGGTACTTAATTTCTAAAGGATCTATGGTTGATAAGTTTGGTGGAGATCTGAATTCTACTCCCATGCACTGGGCCACCAGGTTAGTATGTAAATATTCTTGTCTGTATTGGTCATATAGGTTACTTTTACAGTGATATTTTTAATAGAACTACTTATATGATATAAAATTATGATTATCTTTGTTACGGATAAGTTCAATTTCAAAATTTTACGTTTTTGTGGCAGTCTATGGTAACACTAGCATGGTTTGAACGATATTTAGGAATGGTGTTACTTTTAGATATGACGAAAACTCAAGGCATTTATTATAGTATTACTCACTTCTAATCATAATCACAAACTTCATGGGCAGAATGTTAGACAGGACCATGTCCTGTTGTAATAGACATAATTCTGACCCATGTAAAATAAAGAGTCTATGTTTGTACCTATGGACTGAATGTTAGACAGGACCATGTCCTTGTGTATTGGACCTAATTCTGACCAATGTAAAATAAAGAGTCTATGTTTGTACCCCTGGACTGATTGTTAGACAGGACCATGTCCTTGTGTATTGGACCTAATTCTGACCATGTAAAGTAAAGAGTTTATTATTATTATTATTATTATTACTAAACACATAACTTAGTAACATATCATTTCAACACAATTTACGTGTCGTCATCAGATGAAATAACTAAGCGCATTACGTTTAATCAAAGTGATATATTATCATTGATTTTTGTATGTATTTATTTTAGACAAGGTCATCTGAATATGTTAGTATTATTAATGTCGTATGGTGCAGACCCTTCTCTCAGAGATGGTGAAGGTAAGCGATGGTCTTTTTTTTTATATTTTGGTGCTTCTGGGTGTGAATCCCCTTCCAGGCAAGAATAACTACCTTTGACAGCCATGAATTTTCGTGATTCATCATTTTAACTTTCAAACGCAGATAATTCTGTACATACATGTACATTAAAGGCTCAAACTCCAACAGTGAGTTGTGAACACTATTACTGATTGTCTTAGCTAAATAATTCCTGTTTCTGAGACTTAAGGTACGCCTGGTCAAATTGGCAAACCTGTCCCTATAATTGACCAGAATTCAAAACTATCGTGTAAATAATGATGACATACCAGTAATAGTTGATACTAAAACTTAACTTAATTATTTTCAGGTTGTAGCTGTATACATTTAGCAGCTCAATTTGGTCACACGGCCCTGGTAGCTTATCTAATAGCCAAGGGTCAGGACGTTGACATGGTAGATAGAAATGGTCTCACTGCCCTGATGTGGGCTTCACATAGAGTTTTTGGGTAAGTCTTTTAACTTCACATAGAGTTATGATAACAGTTTTTTAGCCCACATTGAGTTTTTGGGTAAGACTTTTAGACTATTGGACCATAATGCTGGAGTTGGAGTTTAGGGCATAAGGTTATAGGAAGGGCCTGTTGGACCATAATACTGGAGTTGGAATTTAGGGCATAAGGTTATAGGAAGGGCTAGGTTTAACGCGACTAGATGAAGATAAAAATCAAGATATTAATAAATTAATCAATATGGTTAGTAGAGCAAGATTCCAAATCAATTTTAGTGATTATCCAATTAGATAACTAGAAAACTAAAATTCTAAGTTAAGTCAGGTAAAATAAGCCCTTTTCTCTTAGAAAAATTTCCCAACTTCGTACACTGCTCTGTGTTGTCTTAATTTACACAATCAGATAAATAGAATAGAAATGTTAAAATAGAACTTGAATCATGTTGTTTCTCAGAGTTTCACACTATGGGATCTTCAGACAATCAGATAAATATACGTTTCACATCAGTTTTTAGAAAGAAACATCTATTTTGGAAAAATACAGATGCAAAATTTTGTATCCAAAAAAAGTATGGGCTTCTTGTTCTAACGATTTGTTAAAACTTCATCAGTTACCTCATTTTCCTTTCAGGTATGATCCTGTACGTTTATTATTAACATTTGGAGCATCTGTTCATCGTCATGACGATAAGAATGGATTAACTCCCTTGATGTTTGCATGTCAAACTGGAAACCATGTTGTTGTACGATTGTTGTTAAATGCTGGAGCACAGATTGAAGACACAGATCATAAGGTAAATATTCTGGCAATAAGTGCAATGAGTTCAAATCTGTCTTGAGTCAAGAAATCTGTCTTAATGCTGCTGCCATAACCAGGGCTCAGGGCTGTTGATCTGCCCAAACATGTTCCAAACATGACCGGCAGGGCAGCTCAGATGTTTGAGAATCACAATTCTCTGTTGAACAACAAATAAAGAATGGACATTGACTGTCACTTAATATCTGTCAATGTGAAATTTGATGAGTGTTAATTAATCTCAGTAAGCCA